AGGCCAGGGAGTAGACTGTAGTGGATTGAATTGTGTCCCTTAAAAAGACATGTTCAAATCTCAATCCCTGGTGCCTGTGAATGCGCCTTATTTGGAAAGAGTCTTTGCAGATGTAATCAAGTTAAGATGAGATCATACTGCATCACAGCAGATCCTAAATCCAATGATTGGTGTCCTTACAGGAAGAGGAGAGGTAGCACAGAGATTCAGAGGAGACATGCAGGAGAAGAAGGTCTTCGAAGATGGATGCAGAGATTGATGTGATGCTGCTACAAGCCAAGAAATGCCAAGGATTTCTGGGAGCCACCAGAAGCTAGGAAGAAGCAAGGAAGGATTCTTCCCTAAAGCCTTCTTAAGGAGCATGTGCCTGCTGACACCATGATTTCAGACTTTTTTTCAACAGGCTCTCCTATGCTTCCATTCTGATTAAAATCTATTTTCTGGTTCTCTTGCCTGTGGTTCCTCTGTGGTAGGAGGAACACACTGCCTCACTCCACTGAACTCAGATGTGGTCACATGACTTGCTTTGAGCAATGAAATGTGGGGCAGAAGTGATGTGTATCATATTCAGGCAGAAGATTTAAGAACTAACCAGAGTTTGCCATATCTCTTTTTCTTCTGCTAAGGTAACTGGTTGATCAGCCTGGATCCCAGAGTGAATGCAATATATAGCAGAATTGCAGTAGACCTACAATAAACATGTAGCATGAATGAAATAAAGCTTTGTTGTAAGCCTCTGATATTTTGGGGTTGTTTGTTATTGCAGTGTAACCTATCCTAACACATACAGTATTTTATGTTCTTTCGGTCCTACTCTTGCTAACCTTCAATGGGAAAACCTTCCAGAGTCCCCTTTTACCTTATGAATAAAGGGCAAACTGCTTAGCCTGACATACAAAATTCACCTAGCCCTAACCAATCTTTCTCCTTTTATTTTCATTTCTTTTGCTTTGAAAGTTATTACTAAAAAAATAGCAGTTAATCACATTAGCCACATAATATTTAGCAAAATATTATGCATATTTTGCTACTCTCTTACTTATTAATTGCTTCCTGTGAGTCACACCTCTGCTTAACAGACGGTCTGACTAAGCCCGCAGAAGAGCTGGGTTGGGACAGGATGGCTAGAGTAAACTCCCACAAGAACGCCCAGTCAGAAATTGACCCAGTGGGTTGATAACCAAGACAGAGCTGGGAGACCTGAAATGGTTCAGCTCCAGGATGTGATGGTAGTGCTGGAGGATGGGGGAGATGGCACAGGCAGAGGTCAGTAACTAAGCCAGAATTGAGAAGTGAGTGTGGGTCCCAGAAGTAAGACCCACAAAGAATTAAATGTCAAGGTCTGAAAGACATATGGGGTGTTATGGACTGAGTTGCGTCCCGCCAAAATCCATATGTTGAAGCCCTAACCCCCAATGTGACTGGATTTGGCGATAAAGCCTTTAAAGAGGTAATTAAGGTCAAATGAGGTCACAAGAATAGGGCCCTAATCCAATAAAACTGCTGTCCTTACAAGAAGAGGAAGAGACACCAAGAGTGCATGAGCACAGAGAAAAGGCATGTGAGGACACAGCAAGAAGACAGCGATCTGCAAGCCAAGGACACCAGCTTCAGGCAAAACCAACCAACTCTGCCAGCACCTTGATCTTGGACTTCCAGCCTCCAGAAGTGTGAGAAAATAAATTTCTGTTAAGTAAGCCACCCAGTCTGTGGTATTTTGTTTTGGTAGCCCAAGCAGACTAATACATGGTATAAGCAAGGAGGAAGGTCCTACAGGCCGGGTCCTGGCCAGATTAAGTACCGACACTCTGTTTCCACTGCAGCTTTCCTTCACCATTTCCCGCCTGGTGCTCTCCCCGCTCCACAGGAGTCATGCCACCTTCCGACATTGAGGCTATGTCCCATAGAGTCCTAATAGGCAGGAACTAGAGTATTTCTCTCACATCACCCAGAGGCTAGCGCTCCATACGATAAAAAGTCTCATTCGATGCTTGAGGATGGACTACTGTGTTCTCTCCTCCTCCACATGCACCAGGGATAGTTAACCTCATGGAGCCCTGAGTGGGGGATCCACAGATGGACTTCAGGAGCTTGCCTACAGCTTTCATCAGATTCTCAATGGGAATCCTAGCACTAAAAGGTTAAAAAAATACTTCAACTTAGATATTGGCTTTTGTTAGACCCTCTGACCAGAGCTGATGTTATGTGGGTCAGTCCACCATGCAGGGATGTAATAAGCTCTTTATTTGTCAGAGTTCTCCCATCACACTTAGACATTGGATAAGTTTCTAAGTCTGATCTACAGATCCATCTGTTAGGTGGGTATTGTTGTGAGTTTATTGTCCTCGGCTTCATGAGCTGTAAACTATTTTAGAAATGACACCTTCAGAGACAATAAGAGTTTGGATATCTGCCCATGACCATTCCCAAAATAAAGCCACACTTAAAAGACATTGTGGATTCAAGGTCTTTTTATTTTTAAGGAAACATTTTTCTCTCTTATCTAGTTACAAGAAATACAGTGGATCTTTTTAATCATGTTATAGATTAATCAGACTAGAGAAAACATCCTGTAAAACTGAAAGTCAAAATTCTTAAGCTTTCCCACCTATAAATCAACTCTCTAGGTACATATTTGCATTTAAGAGATGAATCCAGTTTGCTTTAACCAAATTATTTTTAATGTTAACACCGATTTTTATAAGAAATTTTATTTCGATCATTTCATAGAAACATAAAACAGCAATTTCAATGTTAGAAAAAATATTTTTGCTGGTCAAATATTTTTTCCACAGCCCTCTAGCTAAAACTTTCTCTACATTCTCATTGAATTGATGTAATCACCTGAAATCAGTCTCATAAAGCTAACTCAAATAAATGGGGAATGCTTGCTAGAATAAGAAGTTAACATTTTGGGTCCTGGAGAAAATTTCCTTTAGCCAACCATGGAAAAATCTTCAGCAATGCTCGTCCTACGTACCCTGCAATAGTCCCACCAGCCCGAGGCTCTCGGGAGCTGTGGGAGGAATGGTGCCTGTGTCTCCCACACTTCTCAGGTCCAGATGTGCACAGAGGCAGAGGAGCTGCAAAGTCAAGCACAGCCCACCCCTTTGACCCTTCCTCTGAGGAGACTGCTCACACCCTAGACCTTGGCTAAGGAAGAACAGCCCATTGTCTGGGGCAAAAGCATGTCACATCGCTTCATCCTGTGCCTGGAAAGGCTGTTTGAAACAAGTAATCCCAATTCTAGAGAAGTCAAACGGCTCCCAGCTGCACCGTGACTTGTTTTTGGTTCCTAGGCAAAGTGCCCAGTTTCCTCTGCTGCAAATTTCCCCAACTGCAAGATAGAGATAATTCTTGTTACCTTTCTCTTGTGTGTTCTGAAAAATAAACAGGGCAAATGTTTCTATAGCGCCCGGAGTCACTTGTCTGAGGGCGTATTTGATAGAACGATAGGTGGGGGGTTTGTTTATTTTTGGTTTTTTTTTTAATCAGTTTGTTTTGCTTTTGGCCTGACTCTGGTAGAAAAATCTAAATTAAACTAAATTATAACCATTCATGTAATGTTAATGGAACATTTACAGTATGCAAAGCACTGTGCTGGGCACATGGAGAGTACACAGGGGGCACATCCCTACCCTCAAGGAGCTCACAGCTCGCTCAGAAGGAGAGATTAGAGCCTAGAGGTTGAGTAACGCAAGCGTGGCGGTAGGCCAAGGTAGCTGGGTGGGAATCCTCCTCTACAACTGACCAGCTGGAGACCTTGGAAAAATCACTCCGTTTAGCAAGCTTCTGTTTCCTCATATGCAAACCACAATAACTAACATTTATTGAGTGTCTGATGGGTGCAGATGTTCTATGCACTTGTGTTTACTTAGTTAAAATTCAGAACAACTGCCCGAGGTAAATAGTATTATTATCCCCATATTTGTGGACGATACCATCCCATCTTGTAGATAAAGATGCTGAAGCTTAGGAAGGTTACCTAACTTGTCCCAGGTCTTACAGTTGGGAAGTGGTGAAGCCAGGGTGCAAACCCAAGCTGCGTGGCCTCAAAGCGTGCAGACTTGACCACTGTACTACACTACCATCCAATGGGAACATAGTAACAGTCACCTCACATAGACTCGTGAGGATCCACTGAAATGACGCATAAAACACTGTTAGCACAGTGTCTGACACACAATAAATGTGCAATAAATGTAGAGGTAGCGGTAGAGGAGACGAGACACTTACATAAATACCCGGAATGCCAAGTCAAACGTAAACACGTACATCCAGTCTATTTCACGGGAAAACTCCTTCTGATAGACCAATCGTTATACAGGGGGTTATAGTAAGGAGTTGTGTTGCGGGGAGAGCAGGCTACGAACTGCAGTACTTCCGAATCGGCACACAAAAGATGTATAACATACAGGAGTGATGCTTCATAGATACATAAATTTCTGAGAGTCACACGAAGAAAAGTTAAGGTATCTGATGTACCCTGCTATAACTAAAATTCAAACTGTATTCGTGAGAACAATTTCCAATTAAGCAATGTAAAAATGCATCTGCTGCAATTGTTCTTCTCCCCTTCCTTAACCTCCACCCCCAATTTCCTTTAGGAAGAAACAATAGCATGGAGTTTCTTTTCAGAAACAACAGCATGGAGTTTCTTTTCAAAGGCTTAAAATACAGATCCCCAAAAAAGGCATCCTGTTTGTAAAACCTTTTAGAGTTATTTGAAAGAGAAAAAAAAAAGTGCGTAAAGAGCCAAGTGCTTATAATCCAGCCAAGTTATGAGTCTCTGAGAACAAGAGCCTGAGGGCAGACTGTTAACCCCATCCTCTCGGGCAGAATGAGCTCTTCCCCTGTGGGTCTGCACCGCCTGTGAAGTCCATCTCGCTCTGCTGTGAGTGAGGCCAGCCTGCTAGAGAACAGCAACAAAAACGATGACAGTCTGAAATACGCCCCAGTGCCAACCTCCAAATTCATCTGTCACTTCAGACCCTGACTAGTTGACAGAGCAGCAGAATTTCAACTCCAATAGACTTGAATGTGTTTCTGGGCAAAGAAGCAGAGCTAACGAGGGAAGAGATTTAAAGAGTTTCTCTTGTGTATTTGTCAAACTCGTATTTCCTAGCTGGGCGCAAAGAGGGGATTCAATTTCAATTGTCTACCAAGGCTCCGGGTCCAGCCACCTACCTGAAGGTAAATTTTAATAAATTGACTGTATAGTCTAATTGCATTTGTTCAACTGATTTGCGTGATATGATGAAGTTCTCTAATATTTTTGCCTAATACAAAGCCATTTATTTACCAAAAAAAAAAACCTTTTGCATGATTTACAGAAAACCTACTTAATAGGGGGTTTTAACACTTGTATTCAAGTTTCCTTTTCTTCTCCAAGATTTAATAGTAAGTACTGATAAATGATGGTTTTAGTATAGACCAAGAACACAAATGTAGAACTGTTGTTCGCCAGGTTAGTATTCAGATCTTGGTAAACTCTAAATCCTGAAATGTGTTTTGCAGAAATACTTTACTAAACATTAAATAAATCATTGGAAAAGTATTTTTTTTTTAACTTTCAAATCAAAGTAATTTGTATGTTTTCCATGTTTAAATAATCTGAAGTTATTCAATTACCACCATTGTCCCAGTCGGTACCTAACAGCAGTGTAGAAATGAAACATCTTGCTTTTCCAAAACACTAAACTGGAAAATAGCATATAAGAACATAATACATTTCCTGTAATACTATACTCTTCTTTGATTAATTTTTAGTTATTGTGACTATTATCTCTTCTGGTTCGCTTTTATAGCTTTATGACTAATTGTTTCTTGTCTCCTTCTATCATTTTTTAAGATGCACACACACATACATAAAATTCCTCTAATTCCTAATGATGTAAGTTACTTAGGATAGCAGAAAGGGGGGAGGGAGGGGAATCAAAGAGCTAGAGATTATGATAACTCTTGTATTGTAAGGCACTACCATTTCTGGCTCTAGCTTCTAAAATAAAGCAATAATGCAAGGCATGCTCACTCATTCCTGCTCGGTATTGGAGGTCACCCTGCAGGAGAAATCCATGCTTTCAACTGCAGATCGATACTCTTGATACTATAACCAAGAGGCACTGCAGAAACAGTATCCCTTTTGCACTGCCTTTAATCTGCAAAGAGGTGAAAGATGTCATCTTGGCGCTGTATCTGAGCTCTCCTCTGGACCAGGGCCTAAATACATTGAATAGAAATGTTCACTCAATCCAACTCAGCAGAAATCGTTTTTAAAAATTCTCCCCTTTCTCATGGATAGCAGGTTTTTTCAGTTCACAGCTTATTCAGCTAAACCTTGATGTTTACAACTATTATTAACTATGACTATCTGAAAAAAAGAAAAAGAAAACCCCTCTTAGGAAAGATTTAATTTTATATTTCTGTTCGTTCAACAAGATCTAGCAAAGCAGAGCGATCTTTCATCAACTTATCATCCAGTCAGCTAATGCTGCTTTCCACATTTTGGGAAAGAAGATGTACATGTTGTTAACAAATCTTGCCTTTTTCTTTCAGGGAATTTTTGTACAGCCATTTAGCAATTAGAGTACTGGAGTTTCCTTTTCCAGTCTTTTGGGATTTAATCCTAATAGTCTCTCGTGGCGCAACTTCACTTATCAACTATGTAAAAATAATAAATAGTGATGACAGAAATGAAATGAATAGTGATGTATCTGGAAAACTCTAAAACATTATTCGTTTCATTTCCTCTCGACTGTTATTTTTACTCAGTTGATTTGTAATAGTACACAAACACTGTTATTTTAGTTAAGTTTAGCACAATGTCCAGAACACGTTGGGAATCTTTTTCCACCGAGAAGAACATAAACAACTATTGTTAAAAGACTTCTAGTGCCCTTTGCCCTTACATATCATTCTGGAACAACACTCAGTGAAGGAGAAGGGGGCCCCATAAATCCAGAAGAATTTCCCCAGTAGGTCTGGCTTCCCAAGAGATGCCCTAGTGGGCCAGGGTCTGGTTCTTGCTGGGCCCACAAGGCATCTTCCACCAAAGGCTGAGCTTGTAATGGTAGAACCACCTGGAGCTAGCCTGGTCTTTGTCTTGGTCATCAAAAGATGGACAGAACTCTGGGGAACAGAGTGTGTGGTCTTGACTAATTGTAGGGAGATGGTGTAATAGAGTGAATAAGATCGTGGGCTTTGGAAACATACAGACCTGGTTTCTATCCAGGCTTTACAGGCTCTATGACTTTGGGTAAATGTCTCTTTGAGCACCAGTCTCCTCATTTGTGGAAATGAGGATCAAAAAATTAGTTGCTCCCTCAGAAATCTCACTTAATTATGAGAATTAAGTGAAGAAAACCAGCTATGCTGGTACATATGAAGCAATCAATGGATCATAACTAATATTAAAGCACTAGCCTGCTTAAATGTCCCCTTTGAAACTCTGTAGAAAGGAAGTTTACTCTAGATTTTCCCTCAGGGTTTCTTCCTTGTACTTAGACACTTTGCTATATAATAAAAGTCAATGCCAGGTCCATACCTCAGAGCCAGCACAGCAGAGTGGACAGAGAATGCATTTCAGAGTCCAACACACCTGGGTCTGAATCCTGACTCTGCCTCTTACAGGCTCTCTGAGCTTGGGCAGTCCCTTCACACCTCCAGGACTCAGTTTACCCATCTATTAAGCAAATAGTGATAATAACACCCACAAATGGGGTTGTTGTAGGAATTAAATGCAATATTTTTTAAGTGCCAAGCATGGCACCTAGCAGAGTACTAGACACATAGGAAATCTTACTGGTTGCTTATAAAAAGTCTCGTATAACAGTGATAAAGTGTTCAGTTGTGCACTTGGAATGATTTTTCTGGTAGTAAAATTGGGGATCAAGAAGGAAATAGTCTTTAAATTGTCTTTTTTTATCCAAAGAAATGGAAAAATAAATCTGACACTACTGTGTTCCCCTTGGGGGCCTCAACATGAAGTATTTATTACTGTGAGTCCTTACACATTCTTCAGTTAGTTGCTTCTTAATGGCCGAGTCAAATGTAACCAAAGAGAGTTTTCTGTTTCAGATTGCCATTAAGAGTGAGACAAAATGCTGCTTTGCAGTCAATTCTGTTTTGTTGGCCTACTTGGACAGGGGAGAAGGCCCCCAACATTTCTCCTTTCTCATCTTTTCTAAAGGCAAGAATAGGGATTTTGACTTGCTCTAGGGGGGATTTTTTCCTCTCTAACTGAAATTCAAATGAAAGGGTTTAGTTTTTGTTTTTTGTTTCTGTAAACCTCTCCCCTATGTTCCTAGCATTGAAATGTCAGCTGCTTTTTCTGGCTACGTGTAGCAGGAGCAGCCTGTTGTCATAGCAATGAAAGGGTATAGAGGGACTCGAGTTTCATGACCTGCTCTGTGAAATAGCTCTTAGTCTGCTTTAAAATCCTTCTTTAAAAATGAAGTCTCCAGTCCTGGCTTGTTTCCCTCCTATGATGCAACCAACTTATGTACACCAACTGCAGTAGCTAAATGTTTCCTTTAAAGAGCCAATGAATAGGTGTTAAGAAAATGAACAAGAAAGCTACTAACACGGTGACCAGTTTACTGTGGATTGCATGGGGCAAACAAGTGGGAAGGCAAAGGTAGCGAAATAGAAATGAGCTCACTTTATAACGTGTACTGCACATGCCGCACTAAATCCATTTTCTGAGTTCCCACAGCCTTCTCCCATCATCACGTTGTGCTGTAGTTTAGTGGTTATCCCCAGGGATTCTGGAGCAGGCTGCCTGGACTCCAATCCTGGCACTCTCTAGTTTTTTATTGTATGCACTGTTTGCCTTGGTCTTCTTATCTGTAAAATAGAGATAATAGGGCCGGCCCTGTGGCTTGGTGGTTAAGTGCGCGCGCTGCGATGCTGGTGGCCCGGGTTCGGATCCCGGGTGCGCATCGAGGCACCACTTCTCCGTTCATCCTGAGGCCGAGTCCCACATACAGCAACTAGAAGGATGTGCAGCTACGACACACAACTATCCACTGGGGATTTGGGGGGGAAAAATAAAAATAAATAAAATCTTTAAAATAGAGATAATAATAGTCATAAAATTGTTGTGGGAATTGAATGAGATACTGAAAGTAAGGCTCTTACTACAGTGTCTGACCAGTGGCAAAGGTTGGCTGTTAAGCTCACCAAGCCTCAGTTTCCCCTACATGTTAAATGGGGATAACACCTTATTCATAAGATTGCTGTAGCATTAACTGAAATAATGGATGTAAGTGCTCAATAAGTAGTAGTTCTTTTAATACTTTTCATCATGTCTAACTCTGATAAGAGTGGCTTTTTTGAACTTAGAATGTCCCGGTGAGTAAACTGTGAGGAATACAGACCTCAGAATTATCATTGTATAAACATGAACCATTGAATTTCTAAAGAGAAAAGAAAGAAATAATTAAAGGTTTTTACATTTTTATGAAGAGTAAAGAAGATTCTTCTCATCTTGATTAACACTGGAGCAAAAGGTATTAAAACATCTTATCTTTCATTAAAATGCTTTTTATTAAAGTTTCTGTTTTAGTTTCTTCAGTATTTTCCAGGTCACGCAATTATGTAAATAAGTAATCTTATGCCTCAAACAACTCACGTATTCAGTGTTCTCCACCACGCAAAATGCCAGAGATGTTACAGGAGAGAACAGAGAGAGGGGCTGTTCTCCTGCGGAGCTGGCTGTGTAGTTAAGGAGATAGTCGTTAATCAGATCACCACATTAATAAAAAGTGCATATGCCCAAACCTAAGGTGACCTCAAATACAAAGCTATCTTCATTTTTCTAATGAAAATATACTCAGCCAAAATCTTTGGCCCACTTAAGTGCACAAACGGGCAATATATTGTAATGTATACTTAGGATACTTACCCTATTGTTACACATACATATTTAAAATCTCATTTTAAATATTTTATACATACAATATTTTAAATATTTAATTTCAATTTAATATTAATACTTTAAGCATTTTGTACTTATAAAAATGACCTTTTCCACTCTCATAGTTCATGAAACAATTTTGTTAGAACTCTCTATGTGAGTCTCTAACAGTGGTGTCTGTGTTCACTGGGGCCACTCAGTCATGATCTGATACGGAGCAGTGTATCACCACTTCTCTGCAAGTTGTTCACAACACGCTTCTTAAAAATCTGCCGAT